AGTAGGAGTAGGAGTAGGAGTAGGAGTAGGAGTAGGAGTAGGAGTAGTAGTAGTAGTAGTAGTAGTAGTAATAGTAGTAGTAGTAGGAGTAGTAGTAGGAGGAGGAGTAGTAGCAGTAGTAGTAGTAGTACAGTAGTAATAACTCGTACTTACATGTACTTACTAGTAGTTCTCTGGCCTCATAGCGCGAGGCGAAGTGCTTGTAGACCCAGTCATCATTCTGTCCGCACCAGCTCAGGACCGGCATGCGTAGATCTGTGCCAAAACAGCACACAAGTGGGTCTCGCTCAAGGGTCAAGAGCCAGCACGCAAGTACCATCTTAGAGCTCGTAGAGCTTCTCCACAACTAGGGCATCTGGTTTTGACCCACGAACATGAGAATTTGTTGAGAACTTTAGTCCTTTTTGGTCCGTTATACTGCGCAAAGTGAATTCCACCTTCGCCGCATGACGCCTAGAACATTCACAAGTTGACTATACAGGATACAAAAGGATTCCCAGGATGCAGCCGTGATCATGTCAAGTGTTCCTCTGCGTATCTCTGCGTCTCATCTTGCCTGGAGTATATCATGGCTTCACCACTGGTTCTTCAGTCGCCCAATTCGACACGATGTCCATGTATTCGGCAGGTTCCTGTACTCGGTGCATCGAGGGACAGACCGGTCTATTCGGCAAATGGTGTTAGCCATTCAATGTGACATTGGAAGAAAGGAAAAACGCATCATTTGCCATCTCAGACTGACAAACAACTCGTTGTCTCCGGCGCATTGTTGAACCCGATCGACGTCCTGGCAAACTGCTTCCAGGAAGGATGGCATCTCCTGCCGAAGGAATTGGAGACATAGGAAGGTGATCCAAAGCACCAAGAGCCAAGAGCAGAATTCTAGGCGGTTTTGGGAAAGCTTAAACTCTTGAACATCCAAAGCTAAAACAACCTGGCTGTTGTTGAATGTTTCTGGCAAGTGCTTGATGAACAGTTGACACTTGCCATCATTTGCCATCTTACCATCCTGAGGCCCAATCAACGACACGAGCACCTGCCAGCAGAACTGGAGTCTTCACTGGGTCTGGATGACACTTGTCTAAGCAAAGCATTTCCAAGGTGTTATAGCATATTCGGATGCATATGGGTGGAATGGTGTGGAATGCTACAGGCTAGGTCCTAGGTGATCTTGCTCGGGCTGTCAGGATATGGTCATCTGTGACCAGAAAAGAGTTAGCATGAGCCGAGGAGATAAAATGTCTGTAGATACCAAAAACTTGCTGGGCAATGGTTTCGTAGTTTATTTTGATGTCGGACACCTAACAAAATCAGAAGCACTCGTCTCCTCACACCAGTCTCATCAGCCCGCGAAAAGCTTCAAGGATCCTTCACAGCGAACCATAGCGAACCTTCACAGCTTTGAACCGTACCCAGGCGCGGACCGGCCTCCACACGTGGGAAATCCGCGGCCAAGCGATGTAAAGGCCAAGCCCAGCTGCCCTGGACTGACCCGATGCGGAACGAAACATGACGACGAAGTGACAACGATTCTCGTCGGAAAGCGATGGTTTGAACATATTGGAAGCCTCGAGACCGTTGCTGGATCACATGGCGCAGCATGGTGAAGCTGTGCGTGCGTGCTTTGATTGGACTCTCAGATACCCTATAGGCGCAGGGAAGTTCAACCTCATTCAACATGAGTCAATTGTCAGAGATCGGCCGGTCTTCTTTTTCGCAGCGTCCACCGAAACTGGCTCAGCAGCATGGAAGCGAAGGCCCATTGAGCAGCTCCCTGGCAAGCAGCAACCTTAGTGGGCGCCGTGGAGCTGCTTTGCTTCACGGAACTTCCCACTTCGAACGGAGACTAACTCTGCCCTTTTCCTCTAGTGTTCCTGACAGCCAGCGGCTGATATCCTTTTCTACCAGCACCCGCCCACCCTACCCTTTTCAGGTGACATTCCGTCAGACTGAGCCACAGCAGCGTGGTATGTCACCGCATTGCCCCCATGTGCCATCAGTGCCAACACTGCCTCCCACTGCATGGCAGCTGCACAGCTGCTCACGCCAGCTGTGACAGAGATCACATCCGCCTGGCAAGGATCCGCTGTGGGCCATTGGGAATCCTCCAATCGTGAGAAAACATCTCGGCAAGGGACCGGGGATCCTCAAATTATGTGCAAACACATTGGAAACTGTGCTGGTTTAGCGTAGTTGCTCGCGTTATGGGGTTCCCCCAAGGCATCCGCGCGGTAAACACGTTAAACATCAAAAAATTATGTGTTTACCGTTTTTACCGGGGGGGGGCCTTTTTCTTCTACCATATCCGCGGTAAAAGCGGTAAAAATTGTTGTGTGTTTTTTTTAAATAACCCGTCTTTACCGGGGGGCAAACGGTCCTATTTTTTAACCGCTTTTAACGGAGGGTCGCCCCTTTTTGTTCTACCATATCCGCGCTAAAAACGGTAAAAATCGAAAGTGTTCGATCCAAGTTAAAAGTCATTAAATGTTGATCAAACATCAAACTCCTCTTGTCGAAAAGGGCACACGCTCCTATATGATAGGAGGGGTCAACCCCACCAGATTATAGGAAGATACCCAAGGGCTGTAACATTTAAACCTTTTTGTTTACAGAGGTCTTCTAGCTTGCGACCTGTTCGGTAAACATTGAAAATTACTATTGTGTTGTTTAACGGAGAGTCGCTTGCTCCTTGTTCTTCTACCATATCCGCGGTAAAAAATGTAAAAATACTTTTTATTTTTTCCGTTGTTGCCTGGGGGCGCTCCCTTTTTTAATACCATATCCGCGGAAAAAAAGGTAAACAAATATTAAAGACCGTTTTTACCCCGGGGGGCGCCCCTTTTTCTTCTACCATATCCGCAGTAGTAAAAACGGTAAAAGTTGCTGTGTTTTTACCGTTTTTACCGGGGGGCGCCCCTTTTTCAATACCATATCCGCGGTAAAAACGGTAAAATTTGAAACTGTTCTTTTTCTACCTTTCTTTCTGCGGGGTCGCGAAAGGGTACCCCTTGGCCTTAGCAAAACAACGCTCGCGAACCGGCTTAGGTTCTGTCTTGTTGCCATGCAATGCCATGCATATCTTTTACCGATGCCCTCTTGGCCTGCATCATCCTCGCATGAACTTCCACAAGTAGTTGCAAAGCCTCAGCTCCACATCACTGGAGCGTCCCATGCAGCAAGAAAAACACTGAAAATGGAACATCAGGTGGGCCAGGAGCGGTCTAACTCTATTCGCCCAAACGAACTCACCGCCAAACCCGAGGGATCGTCGGGTCACGTGCTGCCATTGACTCCCTTTCTCACAGGCACTGATTGCTGCGTTACATGAGGTGAGGTCAGGCTCCAGTCCTGGCTCCAACTCAAGCATGGCCCAAATTTGGCACACAACAAACCTCAATCATGCCATGTCAACCACCAGAGCCAAAACACACCCAGACCAAAGGCCCAGACCCAAACATGCCGAGAGGAACCAAACCCTTCGCTGGAGAGCTCTGTGAAAAGCCAGAGCGCCATCGGCCAAGCGTTGCCCTTCTCACATGCGCTGATACATGCATTGTAGGTGACCATTGTGCACTCGATGCCTCGGTTGCGGCGCATGGAAAGGTAAAATTCCAGGCAGTCATGGTGAGCAAGATCATAGCCCCAAAAAATAGCACATGTGCCATGCCCCAGTCCAGGATGGCCAACTTCCAGGACGGACTTGGAATCGCCTGTTTTCACCTGTTGTTAAACCCATCTTGGCCAGGAAACGGTGGCCAAGTGCTTCAGCCAACAACATCAATGCCTTCTTCCACTGCTGGTTCTTCTCACAGGCACTGATGGCAGAGTTGTAGCTGATGATGTCCGCTTCTAAGGATGTTGCATTGTTCAGATCTTCCAGCATGTGAATGGCAGCTCTCCATGCACCACCGGAATTGCACGCGCTCATAGTGGCATTGAAAGACACCACATCTCCAGATAGTTTTGAGTTGGTGCTCTTGCTGAGCAAGTTCATAGCGCATTGCCATCTACCGCTCTGCTCAGTTGCGCTGATTGCAGCATTGTACAGCAAAATATTTCCCTGCACCTGCTGAGAACAAGCCACAAGCAAGGACAAGGCCAGCTGCCACTGCCCAAAGAATTCTGTAGAGCTGACTACTGAGGTGAAAGTAATGATGTTTGGCTGCAGTTTTGCAGCGCGGAGGTCCTCCAAGAACATGCAAGCACCACTCCAGCTCGATGGTTCCATAGCATCACACAGGCCGATCAGAGACGTGTACGAAACCTGCCATTTATCAGTGATCGCCATCTCCATAACAGATTGGTTAGCTTCTGAAACAAGAGAAAAATGCACCATGTTCAAGCCTGGACACTATGGAGGACTGCAGAATGCTACTTTTCATCTTCCTGAACTGCTGCAAAGCGCTCTTCCAAGCAGTTGAACAAACCGCCATGCTTGCATTACATGTAATGCTGCTGCAATCTAAGCCTTTCTCTGCCAAGGCTGTAAGTAAACCTGCAGCCTGGCACCATCCCTGCAGGCTCTCCAGGGTGGAGATGGCGGCATTGTAGTGAATCACTGTAGCTTGCAGCGTTTTCCTGTACAAATCTTGGAGCAAGTCCAAAGAGCTTGGCCACTCCAAGATCGCAGATCCATAAGATGGTGGGCTTGGATGTAAGGTCTTCCTCCAAACTGCGCCTCACAACTTGCTTTGCCAGGCTTGCATGATGTGTTTGAGTGGTTCACAAGAATCACAGTACACAGTGTGCCTGGATCTTCCCATGTCTTGACATTTGGCTTCTTTACTTCATGGATCGTCGTTGGCATGGTCTTAATTAATTATAACACCTCATGTTATTCCTTTTGGGCTGCGCCTAACAAGCCGCAGGTCAGGTGCCACTGGCTTCCGCAGGAACTCATCATGGTGTTGAAGGCGACGATCGAAGGTTCTAGAGTGACCCTGGAGGTTTCTTGAAGCAAAGACAGCGTCAAAGGCCAGGTTCGCAACCTGGGTTCACCTCGGCAGGCTGTGATCACTGCTCCATAGAGGATGATGTTTCTCTGCAAAGCCTCCAGGTCTTCAGGGCCAAAAGCTAGTCACATTGAGGAAGACTCCACTACTCGACTCGACCGAGTCCGAGCGATCACAAAGCCTTTTTCGACCGGGAAGACCAGCTGTGCAGCTTCCCCAACCCCAAGTTAAGGGAAGCACAAAACACTTAAGACAATTAAGGCAAGGTCTTCCGAACTTCCCAAAAGGCCAGCAA